GAGCGCGGTGGATGCTGCGCTACTGCCACGCGCAAGCCACCGACCCTGCACAACCTTGCTGTGGAGCATACGGTGAACACCGTCGAAATCGAAGGTCAAAATGTCAGTTCCCCGCAGGTAGGGGAGCATTTTTGTCGTGTACTTTCGCGGGGCTAGATCGATGCTACGTAAGTCTCTCTCTTCCTCGCATTAAGCGAATTTATGGCCGTCTTAGACGGAAAGTCAGGCTGCAATGGCCGCCTCATAATGCGACTCCTGTGGCAGCCCCATTCGCTTGGGATCCGAGCCGCCCACTTATGTCCAAAATCTGGTGCAACGTGCGCGGAACAGTTGTGTGTGGCACGTGTAGTCAGTCAGTCAATGCGGCTCTACGTACGAGGGATAGAATGATGAAGGAGCTGCGCACGCCCATTTCACGGACGTTCCTTTTGCTCGACAGTGTGTTTTGCTGTTTGTAGGATGTGCTAAATATGGCCCACATAGCCATCTTCATAAAAATTAATAACCAAAAAATCATTTTTTTCGTTAAATGCTTTAAAAATATATCTTATTTGAAAGTTTTGACGTAAACCTCGATCAAAATTTCTGTTTATGGACCAAATCTTGAAAACACAGAGAAAATCTTCAAAATTTTGTCGGAAATCAAAGGAAATTTTTGTAAGTGATTGTAATTCAATGACAGCAGAATGTTCAAAACACTTTGACAAAGGGAAAGTTCTTTTGGCATGCAGACGATGATAAGGTTACTACTTTTACTAACGAAAATAGTTAAATTTATCGTTATAATTTATAGCCTTTTTACGTCTCGAAACTTGAATGTTATTAAGAAAAATTTATTTTGCTTGATAAGCAATTAGCACTCCTCATGTTTCTTTTAAGTAATAAATATGCCTAAGGTGGTTTATCACCATTTCTAATTTTTTGTACATGCGTTAATGCCGGTTTGCAAGGGAGTATCAATCTTTCGTAGTGTTTCATAAGCAGACACACATCATCATGATATTCATGCCTTACTGTTCCTTACAAGCAACAAGTACGTAACCCGCCAGAAAAGCTATATAAGTTTTGCAGTGACGTTTGTTGGTTTGCGGTGTTTGCTTATTTGCTTTAGATTCACTGAAACAAAAAAGCAACCACGGCAGGTAGGTAAATACTAGGCAGCGTACAACTGGCTTACGTTTGCCAGAGGACAACAACCCGGGCGTCCATCAGCCATTTTACAGCAGGTTTGCCAGTCCTCGCATGTGTCTTCCTCCACTGGGCAAGTATTGTCCTTTTTAGGCGTCTCCTTCCAGCTGACTTTGAGTCCCAGCTGTGCATCATCGGCGCTGAGGATGCAGGACTGTGTACGAGCATCACATTTGTAGCCCGCAGGACAACAGTGCAAACCATCGTTACAGCAGACCGCCTAAAAAGAGATAAATTACACTGTAGGAGTGACCGAATATTATGATTAAGCTGCTTATAAAACTGATTATGGCGATCACTGAGATAAATCTCATTTGTGCTGAATGTCTGTTCAACAGGCAGCGACTATTGGGTTGACACTCCAGCAATCATATCTGGGGTCTTACGACTAGGCTCAGTCAGTAAACCACACGGACATCAAATCTAATCAAAAAATAGAAATCTGGTAGTTTTCCCACTTTATGCTGCGGGGCAACATATCATCACTGACGTAACATATAAAAATTATGGCGTAAAGAGGGACTTTAATGTTTAGTGCAGAAATTCAGCGAGTAATTTGAAAAATGCACAAAGAATCGTGTTGACAAAATACATGTTTACGGATGATCTACTTGCCTCACTGAAAATTACCCTAAAGGGATTAAGTGTCATGATGATCCTAAGGGAGATGTGAAGGGCAAAAGTACTTTGAAGAAAAACATTAAAATCGATAACACCAACGTATTTTCATACTTACCTGAGCTAATAAATTGAGGTAAACTGGGCAGCTCCATCGAACTTTTAAAAGTTCCCTACGAGGTCTCAGAATATTGTGTCTATAGGATTCAGTCAAGGTGTGTTGTTTAAAAGATACAATATGCACAACAATATGGAAGGAATTACTGGATGTTCGGCACAAGTGAGCGCGTGGTTATTCGGATATCGCATCAAGTTGACATTCTCGAAGGCTTTAAAACCCTTAAAACAATATCAGTTGCTAATTTTTTCACTTGGTAGAAAATTGGCCCAAAAATATTTGGGACTACCTAATCCTTCACACCGAAAGCCGCTAAGCATGAGAGGTGTGGCCGGGTACTGGTAGAGGAACGTTTGCAGACTCCAGTGTCTAATGACAACGGGGCCCGTTCAAGAATGAGTAGGTCGGTTAGTATACTAGTCAACAGCGCAATGGGCTAAGTTTTCCCAGTGGAAAGGGACATCAATATTAAGCGGAATAGAAGAAGCGGCCATGTTTCGTTGAGTTGATTGAGAATTTCAAATACAGGCGAGTACACAACAGATATCGTAATGGTCTGGTAATGCTTCGTTTCGTAAAAACTAACAGCAGTGCAATGACAAGAATGACTAGTAAAGAATGTTGACGTCCAACATAGAATTAGTCAATAAGCGTTCACTCAGTCGAGAACTTGAGCTGCAATGGGACTTTGCAAAGCTTCTACGAGCAATTAAAATCAGTATAACACTGGGAAGCATAGAGTTTCCCGATTCTTCAGAATGGTTATTCTCTTAAGGCGGAAATGCAGCCTATTGTTGATTAAAAATCAGGCGTTAAAACATGACAAAACTAAAAACTCTGGGGGAAAATTGTTGTGAGCCAAGCACTCTTCTTCACCTCCAAAACAGGCAAGCAAGTTCAAGTCAACTAGAACTCACATTTTCGAATGGGCAGCATGCTACTCCTCCAGAGTCAAGGGCACAAGGAGTTGCTTGAGAATCGCATTCTTTTGATGGACTGGGAACGACTGGCGTCGTTGAGCTAACAATGCTAGGCTAGGAAATAAAGTTAAGCAAATAACATTCAGATGAGAAAGGCATTTGCAAAACATCTTTCAGCATGTAGCTAAAAGTTCCAGAAAAGATAATTGAAATTTTGTGGTAGCTTTGCAAACTTACCGACGGTGTTGTCAACAAGCCTGCGCTAAGCCTACTTGAATATAGGCCTGCACTCATGGTACTACAGCTGCCGTCAGCATTGCAAGTGCTACCTTGTGGACAGCAAGTGTCAGCACCGGAACAACATACGCCCTGTTTGTTATTATTTAAAAAATAGAAGACGTACATTTTCGACAGGACAACACATAAATTTTCCAAGACTTTTTTCACAACCAGTTCCAGAAGAGCAAAAATCAGAACACTTAAGCTCGGCACCTCTACATGGACCTATAGTCCAATAAAAAATGGCTATTATGAAGATCCCGACTCTCATCTTAAAGACAATACGCCAATGCTATTGTGCGATCCCGCACATGAACACACCACATTTATAGAAACACCGAGTATATAAATGT